TTGTAAAGGAAGCTACCGCAAGATACCGAAGATACCGCAAGAATAAGGTCAAGTAATAAGGTCCCGCGTCGCCGCTCTTAATAATGTAATTGGAGATTAAATCTGCATTATTTCAGATTGAAAAAGAAACGGCAGCGAATCCAGACGATGGTGCTGAAAGCAACTTTCCAGGCGGCCGACTGGAAAACGGAAATCTCGGAAGCAGACGCGGATACGGCCTGGCCAGCCGGTCACGTCCCCGAGAATCGGCATCATCACGAATTACCATCGCTTATGAATACTGGGCCCCTGCGTAAGGGCAACACCGTACAACATCGGCAACTTTCGAGGGGGCGGAGAATCAACCCCATTTTTCCCGAAATTGACAAAATGCGCGGACGATCGGCGCGGGATTCAAGGGCCTTGCGAGCACAGACGAAGATCGTCACTGTACGGTGAGCTAGTGTCCTGTGCACATCAGCAGAACCTTGGAAGAGACGACCCTGAGGGAGCCGCCACCTACACTAATTGTAAGCCATCGCACAGGTAGCCGATTAGTAATTTTCCTCCGGGATCAGCTGGTGTCATCGTGCCGAGATACCGTCGCAGGGCGGCTATCATACCGTAAAGATTACCGTAAAGTCTGATACTTGTACCGTAATTGTCGGACGCCAGCTGTCCCCGGGGTCGCGGATTTGTCCCTCTCAGGGGTGTTCGTGCCGACAGTCCGTATTATTGTGTATCGTTTCCGTACCGTTTAAAATTGTACTGCTCCTATTAACATTGCGTGTATCGATACTCCGAGCGTGACGCAGCAATTTTTGATCGAGTATATCGCATACCGGAAGGCGGGATTTGAGCGCGTAATTTCTTCGTGAGCGTGTGTTACCGAAATTAAGAGAACGGCTCTGCAAGAATATTACCCTACACGAAATCTCCGCCGAAAAGTATTACCGTATCACTTGTTTGAAATTTTCGTTACGCGAACGTCGAGCTATTGTTACCGAAACCAAAAGGTCGTGCGACGACCGTTACATCGGGTAAACAGTTTCCGTCTACACCTCCTTGACGATACCGTTAAATAAAGCTTTGTTTTTCATCAAAACTTTGTCGAAAGTCATCGTTAATTGCCGTAAGAAAAGGTTCGATTCGAGTTATATCGAACTTATATAAAATACGTATACCGTCTATTTTGGATTAGAATTCTGTTCATTTCTTAGTTGTCTATTGTTCTTTACCGTTAATTATTCTTGGTCGTAAACGTTACCGTCAAAATTGTATGAAGATTTAGGTTCGATTTATATCGATATTTAGCACGAGGCTCGCGCCTCCAGGAGTGTTCGTAAACCATCCGCGTATAATCGTCTGATCGTAAAACTCCTGTACTATCTGGTTACCGTTAATTACGTTGATTACCGCCATAAAACTAATTGATAATTATACCGAAATTTGTCAGCGAGACGAACGTCTCGACGTGCGAGCTGAAATCGGACGTAATTCGTTCCCAAGTTTTGTTAGATATTTCGCCGCTAATGTTCACTGCTTTCGGTTACCGTAATTATTGAGAGGCTAAAACTATTTCAATACCGTTTTTTTTATTGCCGACTCAGAGTCGATATTTCAAGTAGCATTTCTGAGATTATTGTATCTGACCTTCGCATCAGCCGTTATAACGTGGCTTTTGTTTCCGAAATTCATAATATAACCGTTATCTTTCGAAATTTATCTGCTTTCTGTTATTATTTTATTTGTGGTTTGCTTTCTTGTATAATTACCGATATATTTACCAATTTTATATCTATTATATTAAATTCGATTATACTGTTAATTGTGTGTGTATTTTAACTTTACAATATATGTAATTATTTGTGAACAAAATAACGAAGTATTAATCATTTCTCTCTCCTAAAGATTATCTAGCGCTCTCTCCCCCTTACTGTAAATAATTCACAAAGAACTCTGCCCCTCTGCCATAAACTGAGCTTACCGCTACCGTTTCGATATCGTGGCGCGGAAATACCGCGCCTGGCGCCCATATCCTATCTCCTTTTTTTTGGAGATCCTGATACCGTACGTTACGGCCATTTTGAGATACCGTTACCGCCATTTTAAGATCCCGATACCGTCAATTACTACACCTCGCCAAATTTGCACGCTACCTCCTCGGGAGCGGCGTTCCCGAGGCGGGCGACGGCGTAATATATAATATACATATATATATATATATATGCATTATTATAATTTATTCATTATTTATTTTATTTTTTAGAAAATAAACAAAACAAAAGAGGAGGCGGCCGGGCCCGAGCTCGTTGGTACGCACAATGGGGCAGAGGCAGCAGGAGCGGCTGGGGCGGCCGAAGAGACGGTCGCGGCCGAGGAGTCGGTCGAGCCCGCGGAGGCCGAAGAGGCGGATGCGGGGGCGACACGATTATCAAAAATTATTATTATTATTAAAAATTTTAAAAATTAATATTATTACTATTATTATTATTGCTATTATTAATAAGAAATAAAAAATATAATTAATAATTCGTAGAATATTTATTTATTTAATATTTTATCCTTTCCTTTTATCCTTTATTCCCAGATATTTTTTTCTCCTATATATGAATGTGGTATAATAGAGCTCCAGGCGAAGGTCCACATAAGAAAACCTAACGCGCCATTGGTGATACCTCGTGGGTGGTGTGGAAAATCGCCACACTCATTAAATTTTTTTATTTTATTATGTTCGCGAGTTAGCGCGGATTGCTGCGACAGCGCAAAGTTTTGAGAAAGCGGCAGACGGATGGCCACGAACAGAATATTTAACGCAACAAAAACTTAACACGACACGTAATTCTTTTTGGTTTTTTCAGTTTTTTTATTTTACACCACACAATTAATAAAGTTTACACAAATAAAAATGAACACCAATATTTCACGTACAGAAACCAGTTCCGAAGCCGAAATTGCGAAAGTCCGAGTGAGAAAAAAGCGGTCGTTGTAATAGTGGTTAGACAAAGCGGTTTTGCAAAGCGAAGCGGTTTTAAGAAATACTGCGAGCAGCGATAAGTGCGAGACTTAGCTGGTCCACGCGCGGTGCCCATTATAAAGCGAGCGGATTTTTGGGCCCACTTCGACGTGGACCAATTAATTCAATATATTAGCGGTGACATTATTGCGGCGTGTGTCATTGGTTATTGATGACGTCTCACGTCGGATATCATTTATTTTCCATGCGCGCAATCTTTTTAGATCAGCTGATTGGCGATCAGCTGATCATGACGCATGGGCGCGCATGCCCATAAGCGGCGTAAATTTCAACGGCGGTTGACAATAATATTGTCTGCGGTGATGATGAGCATTTTTTTCGGTGGCAAAAAAGCGAGATAACTCGAGCGTTCGAGTTTTTTCTAATAAATAGACATTTCGAGAAGATTCTCGACGCCCGTTAATTTTAAATTCTCGATTATTTATTAGCGAAAACATGCGAATTTCGCTATGCGATTTTTAAACTAGAATGATTATTTTAATTTTTGAACATCCCGCCCGCCTCGTCAGTACGTGACGAAATTTACGAGTGTGTGCGGTTACAAACAGGTGTCGCGAACTGTTCTATTGATGAGATGTGAAATGAGTGATGAATGGAATGTGAAGTGACGTAGTACGAGACACGTTGTTTAGATTAATCGAGTCCTTCGCGAGAATACGTAGTGCAGTGAAATGAGGCATATACTGGTGAATTGTGAATGATCTCGCGAATGTGGTGAAGCTCAAGTGCAAGTGTGTTAAACAATCGCAAGTGAAGTGCAGTGGTGAGTGAACGTGAATGCAGATTGTGACGCGAAGTTCGGAAAAAGTGAAAGAGAAGTTGAGTACGCGGTACGATTATCGGACAATGCACGGCTCCGGCCGAGATAAACATTTCAGTGAACGGACAAGTTAGTTATAAAAAAATAAATAAAATAAAATAAAACACGGTGCTCTTTTTCGCTCACGAGTCCGGGTGCATTGATGCTGCGGTGTCGGCTCCAGGCAGGAGGACGATTTTTGTGAGAGGCCGGATAAGCTCCGAAGATGCGGTGCGTATGGTGACCACGCGTGTCACGCCGTCGTCCCCAGGATGCAGCCGGGTGATCTGGGCGAGTGGCCATCGGGTCGGCGGTGTTGTGTCCGACTGCACGAGACACAGGGCGCCGACGGTAGGACTGGCTGAGTCCTTCAGCCATTTCGGTCGGGATGCCAAGGAGTTGACGTACTCTCGTGACCACCTCTCCCAAAAGTGGTCGCGCATCCGTTGGAGGAGTTTCCAGCGGGGCAGAAGACTGAAGCTGCCGTCCGCCAGTGAGGGCTCAGGCATTGCCAGCAGAGGAGCTCCGATCAGGAAGTGTCCTGGTGTGAGTGCCATTATGTCGTCGTGATCGTCCGATAGTGCTTGAAGAGGACGCGAGTTGAGGCACGCCTCCACTTGAGCGAGGAACGTCGACATCTCCTCGAAGGTGAGGGTCGTGTCTCCGAGGACCCTTCGCAGATGGTGTTTAGTCGACTTCACCGCCGCCTCCCAAAGCCCGCCGAAGTGAGGTGCTGCCGGTGGATTAAATCTCCACCGGATCCCGTCGGACGCTGCAATGTGAGCGATGCGTCGGCCGTCGGATGATGATGCCTGAAACAGGAGTCGCAGCTCTCGGTCCGCTCCGACGAAATTGGTGCCGCAGTCGGAGTAGACTTCTTTGCATAGGCCCCGACGAGAAGTGAAGCGCCGGAACGCAGCGAGGAATGCATCGGTGGAGTAGTCCGATGCGGCTTCCAGGTGAACGGCCTTGGTGGCGAAGCAGATGAAGACGACGATGAATCCCTCGTGCGACTTGTGACCTCTTCCCTTTCCGGTTCGGATGAGAATCGGCCCGGCATAATCAACACCGGTTCGCAGGAATGGACGTGCCGGTGCGACTCGTGCCGTCGGAAGGCTGCTCATCATGGGCTGTGGTACTGCGGCTTTCCATCTCACACATGTGACACATCGGTGGATGGTTCTTTTAACGATGGAGCGTCCTCGGGGAATCCAGTACCGCAGGCGAAGCAGTCCTAGGATGAGCTGAACCCCGCCGTGAAGCGTTCGTCTGTGGTGTGCCTTGACGAGGAGTTGCATCATCCACGACTCTGGAGGTAAGATGATCGGATGGCGTTCGTCTTCTGAGAGCACAGCGTGCTTCAGCCGGCCTCCGACTCCCATGGTCGTCGAGGAAGGGGGTTAATTTCGTTATTGGACCCTTGATTAACTTGTGATTTTGTTTCAGGGCAGTGATCTCCTTGGAGAAATGGAGAGCTTGCACCAAGCGGAGCCAGAGGAGCAAGGCTGCTTCTAGCTCATCAGGCGTGAGATTGAGGTGAGCCTTCGAACTCGGTGGGTTGCCTCGCCATCGGCAACACCAGGCGGTGACCCTCAGGAGGCGATGGAGATCGGAGAACCTGAGAAGCATCTCTGGTTCGGCTTTCTCCGTGGTCGTCAAGTGGGAGGCGATTGCTCTCGTCTCCGGCACCTCGACGTCGTGTGTGGCGTGGTCGTGCTGTGGCCAGAATGCTGGATCCTTGGCGAGCCATGGGGGTCCCGTCCACCAGAGGGAATGGTTGAGCAGGTCCCGGGGCTCAATCCCCCGAGAGGCGCAGTCAGCGGGGTTGTCTCGCCCTGGGACGTGTCGCCATCGTGCCTCTGGAAGTTTTGTCTGGATGTGGGACACCCTGTTGGCCACGAAAGTTTTCCACTTCGAGGCGTGTCCTTGTATCCATTGAAGCGTGACCCGGGAGTCCGATCATAGAGTAACTGGAGCTGAAATCAAGTCTAAGGCTTTGCGGAGATGAAAAGTCAGGTTAGTGACCAAGACTGCGGCGCACAATTCCAAGCGCGGTAGAGACACGGGCTTAATGGGCGCAACTTTGCTTTTTGCAGCAAGCAGGCTGGTCGTGGTTGAGGAGGAGCTCATCACGCGGAGGTAGACGACGGCTGCGTAACCTCGCTCCGACGCGTCAACAAACCCGTGGAGCTCGACGTGATTTGGTTGGTTATCGGCCCTCAGCCATCGTTCCAACCGGAGCTGTTCTAACAGCGGAAGATCTTCAAGCAGACGTCTCCACAACGTCTCATCTGATTGAGGCAGTGGGGAGTCCCAGTCTAAGTGCTTCATCCAAGCTGACTGGATGAGGATTTTGGCACGAGCGGTGACTGGAGCTAACCAGCCTAAGTCGAAGATTCGAGCCGTCTCCGACAGTGCCTGTCTTTTCGTCAGCGGGACGGTCGTGCGAGGCTAGAGGTGGAACGTAAAGGAGTCGCTGCGGGGGTGCCACCGTAGACCAAGCGTCGGATGCGCTTCGTCCTCCCAGTCGTGGTGTGGCTGCTGGAGTTGATGCTCCCTTGGTATCTCCTCGAGGATGCTCTGGTGATTTGAGGCCCACTTTCTCAAGGAAAACCCGCCCGCCGTGCAGAGTCGGCGTAACTGCCTCTGCGTTTCGACTGCCTCGGACAGGGTGCTGGCGCCTGTGACGACGTCGTCGACATAGCAATCGCGCCGCAAAGCGATTGCTCCCTTGGGATTTGCCGGTTCCTCATCGTAGGCTAATTGGCGGAGAGTCCTGATCGCCAGGAAAGGTGCACAGGCCAATCTGTATGTCACCATATTGAGTTGATATTCCTGGACGTCATCAGTGCGTTGTCGCCTCCAAAGGATCCGCTGCAGATCCCGATCGTCGGGATGTACTAGAATCTGCCGGTACATCTTCTCGATGTCAGCGATGAAGGCGAAGCGGTGCCAACGCCAACGAAGAAGGACGTCGGCGAGAGTTGGCAGAAGACTGGCTCCGACCAGTAAGGTGTTGTTGAGCGAGTCTCCGGCAGGCGTACATTGGGATCCGTTGAAGACAACTCTTAACTTGGTGGTCGTGCTGGAAGTCCGGAGCACACCGTGATGCGGTAAGTAGCACACGGAATTTTTGATAAGCGGTGTTTTGACCAAGATCATATATTTCAGGTCCGAGTACTCCTCCATGAAGTCGCAATAGAGCTGGTTGAAGATGGCGTCTCTGGAACGGCGTCGCTCCATTGCCGTGAGAAGTCGCTCGGCGGACTTTCACGTGTGATCTAGAGGTGGAAGAGGGCCAGCCAGCGGAAGACGCACCATGTATCTTCCGTCTGCGTGGCGCTCATGAGTGCGAGCGAAGATCTCCTCACATCGCTCTTCGTCCGGCGTAAGCACGACGGAAGCAGGCTGCTCCCGTTCTTGCTCCCAGAACCTCTGAACTAGAGCGTTCAAGTCATAGTCGATGGTGCACTGGAGGGAGCTGAGGGAGCCGTTGGCCGTTACGACTCCGCAATCTCCTGATAATATCCACCCGAACGTAGTCCTCTGCGCGATGGGTTGGTCCTTGCGACCCTTGCGGAGACCTTCGAGGAGAATCCCGGAGAAGGCATCGGCGCCGAGGAGAAGATGGATGGGGTCTCGCTGCAGATATTGCGGATCCGCCAGAGTGAGGCCGTGAATGTGCGGCCACGTGGTGGAGCCCTGAATTGCTGGCTCCTGGTAGGAAGACAGCCGTGGAAGGACAGCCGTAGGCGGCTACGGTGAGGGGGGCTCCAGTCACTCTTGACTTGAGAGTGAGCGTTACCCTTCCGCGTGTGGATCCTGAGCATGCTCCTCCGATTCCAATTATGGACATCGAGGAGCGGGTGCGTGCCAGACGGAGGCGCTGCGCCAAGTCCTCCGAGACGAGAGACACTTCGGATCCCTGGTCGAGCAGGACTCGTACATCCTGAGGTCGTCCCAGACGGTCGGTGAGTGTGACGCGCGCGGTGGCGAGAAGAGTCGCCCTTTTATCTTGTGAAGTGCGTGTCGTGGAGAAAGTGCTCGCTTCGTGTGATGTTGGTGTTGTGTACGCGTCGTGCAACAGCGTGTGGTGCCGCGACTTGCACGTGAAGCACGTTTTGATGGATTGACACTTTGCCATCATGTGGTTCCCGAGACAGTTAAAACAAAGTCCGCTAACCTCGACGAATGACTTTCTTTCGCTCGCGGACTTGGACTTGAACTCGGGGCACTGCATAAGTGTGTTTGCCCTTGCAAGCGGCGCATTTGAACGCGTCGGGCCCGTTTTTAGCGAAGTGAGACTTCGCAGTCCGAGAGGTTTCCCCAGCACTCTTCGTGGCGATCTTGGGTTTGGCGGCGTTCAAGGTAAAAATCCTTTTACTAATAAAATCAGTGAGTGCCTCGTGAGTCGGCGGATCGGGAGAATCGCTTGTGGAAGACTCCCACTCGAGGCGCGTTCGCGAGTCGAACAATTCGATCACCAAGTGATTGAGGAGATCCATCCCATGGGAATTGATGGGTTTTCCGATGCTTTCTTGCGCGTTGACGGTGGCCGTGACGGCGTGATGGACGCGGCTTAGTTCTTCGGCGGACTCGGACTTCATTTTCCCGACGGCAGTGAAGGTAGAGAAATTTGATCGCATGAGCTCTTTTTTATTCTCAAAGTGTTTTGCCAAGATCGCCCACGCGCGGTCGTAATTCTCGCTTGTAACCGTTAATGATCGGATTAATTTTTCCGCAGATCCCTTCACGCAGGAGCGAAGGTAATGGAACCGCTCAATGTTTGAGACCGACGGATTCTCTCCGACGAGGGATAAAAAGAGATCCCGGAAGGAAGGCCAGTCTTCGTAGGCGCCCGAGAACGGCGGCAATTTTATACGCGGCAACGCAGTTTTGGGAGAAGACTCCGACTTCGGTTCGATTCTGTGTGCGACAACTGACTCGGCCCTTAGCCTGTCAGCGTAGTCGCTCAACGTGCTCCGCTGAGAAACGTACGTACATTCCGCAGTATCGATGAAATCATTTTTGGCGTACTCACTCTCCAAGTATCTGTCTTTAAGCGTCGCTCGTATCAGCTCGTGTTGAGCCTCGAATTTCGCCCAGAGGTTGTCGAGGATGATGAGGCGAGCCTGGATGGCACCGGCGGTGATGTTAGTGACTCCCATCTTGCGGAGGTTATCCACGGAGCGAGACATTCGTCCGTGGATGTCGGTTTGAGCCTCTAACAAGGACTTCAGATCGGCACTCATTTTGATTTATCTGCTTGTCTGTCTGTTCAGGAGATTTGCAGCACTGCACAGCATTGAAAACGTCACTCACGAAATTGCGGATGCGGATATTATCCGGCTCGAAGGACCAGAAATGTTCGCGAGTTAGCGCGGATTGCTGCGACAGCGCAAAGTTTTGAGAAAGCCACGAACAGAATATGTAATTTGCAATTAACAATTCCATATTTTTTCTTAAAAACAACTGTATGTTTTCTTTACACCAATTGATTCCTCTCATTATTTTGTACATAAAAGTATGAAGGTAAGATAATCGAAAAATGAATGGTTTACTAGATATTTTATGGTTTATGTAAAATTAAGGAATTATTTTAAGCCTTATAACTCAAAAAGTACTTAATAAAAAGGTACTTAATTATAGTGTTTTGGAAAGCTCTCGAGATAAGCTACAAGAATATGCAATGAAAAATAGAAGGTTCCATTTAAGATTTCAAACTTGCCCCCCCTCGCCGCCCAGGGGGGGGGGCTGATTTTAATGTCATTGTACGTCCCCCTCGAAATGACGAAATTTTGATTTTAACCATTTTTTCATAGTGTGCTTATTTTTCGAGTTATTTGGCTGCCTAAGTTAAAATGGGTCACCCTGTATATAAGTAGTGAGACTAGGAGAGTTCTAACCCAGGACCTCTCAGGAGGAGTGAGGCGCGAGGGGAACCGCGGTGCGGGGGGGAGTGACATCACGCGTGGGAAAGGATGAACCGCGGCGCGCGGTGGGTGACGTCACCCGCGGGGAAAGGGGATCCGCGGCGCGAGCGATGGACGAGGGGGTCCGCGAGGTGAAGGGGGATCCGCGGAGCGAGCGATTGGCGAGGGGGTCCGCACAGTGAAGGGGGATCCGCGGCGCGAGCGATGGACGAGGGGGTCCGCGCAGTGAAGGGGGATCCGCGGCGCGAGCGATGGGCGAGGGGGTCCGCGCGGTGAAGAGGGATCCGCGGCGCGACCGATGGACGGTGGTGTGAGAAGAACAGTGCTACGTATGGGAAAAGGACAGTGCAAAGTGTGAGGATCTGAAGAGGACAGTGCTACGAGTGCGACAAGGATGGCGTTAACGTGGCACAAGGACGACGTAATAGGTGGGAGAAGGACGACGCAAAGGTAAGTGAACAACGAGTATATTCTAAGCGAAAGAGAGAGAACGATAATATCGAGAATAACAACGCGTGCGAGAGAGAACGATAATACCGCGAGACTTACAATTAGCGCGCGCGAAAGAGAGAACGATAGTGCGAAGACTTACAACTAGCGCGTGCGAGAAAGAACGATAATGATTGAGATTAATGCATGAGAGATAACAATACTTATAACTAGCGCGAAAGAGACATAGGGATGGGAACGCATGGAGAGGCGCGTAAATAATTAGTTTTTTTTAAATTAAAATATATATAAAATTTATTTAAAAATGTGTGATTTTGTACATTTTGTGCGTGCGTGTGTGTGTGTGTATGTACTTAAAATTAAGATTATAATAATAAAATATAATAATAATAATAATATAAAAATAATAAAATATAAAATTAAAAATTAATAAAATATAAAATTAAAAATTAATAATATTGGGGGGGGGGGGAATGCCAAGCTAAAGGGCAGGCCGCTTCTGAAACAGAAAAAAGATACACACTTCATTAGTTAATAATAATTTATTTAATATAAAAAATTATAAAACAGGGACACATACCTTAAAATCCTCGAGTCAAGGCATCCTGCCATTCCTCTTCTTCCTCCCAATCCCACTCATCGGTCATTTCCCAATTTTCTTTTTCCTCCTCGGCCATTTCCCAATTTTCTCTTTCCTCCAGCTCCTCTTCCTCATCCTCCCCGAAGAGCCGCCGCAGGTCAAAAATATCTTCGACCTGGCGACTCTCCGGAGTGTCACCCCATGTAGGAGAAGTGGCTCCTCCTTGCCCGGCGTATCGTCCGCACCCACGGCGGAGGCTTATATTTATAAAGCCGGGTATCCGAACTTCATCCTGGGACTATATAAAAATATTTATTATTACACATTCTTTTTTTCACAAATTTTTAACAATTTATCATGAAAATGATACTTACATTCCATAGAAAAATTATATTTAATGTAACATTGCATAATACGTCTATTAATTTTGTTCGCCATTCATTGATATAAAATACAATATGATCCATGTTTTATAACTATATGTGCACACACTATATGCTCACACACTGGTTAGAACTTTATGAAGCGGCAACGATGTCCCGGCACGAGGTTTTATAGTAGAGATGCCGCATTATCACCATGCCAAAAACGCATCGTAAGACAAAAGTACATCCGGTCCCATGCAACTCAGCGCGGTATAATATAATATCAATATCATATCATGACTTTGTGAGAAGACAAACTTCTCGATACGAAACTTTAGAATAGAGACGTATCATCATCGCTTTACCAAAAACGCATCGTAAGACAAAAGTATGCATCTTTCCCATGCAAATTAGCATGATATAATGTAATGCGTCAACTGATCAAACGGAAATGAACGATCATCGAACACCCGTAACGGTAATTGAACGGTCAGCAAACGGAAACGAACGGTAATTGAACGCTCTTCGAACGCTTTTCGAACGGTCATCGAACGGAAATGAACGATCGTTGAACGGTAATTGAACGCTCTTCGAACGCTCGTCGAACAGTAATTGAACGGTCATCGAACGGAAATGAACGGTAATTGAACAGTCATCGAACGGAAACGAACGGTTGTCAAACGCCGTCGAACGGAAATGAACGGTAATTGAACAGCCACCGAACGGAAACGAACACCCGTTGAATGGAAATCAAACTTAAAATTATATTCATTTATCAAACAAATATTTAAATGTATTACAATGTAGTATCGAAATACAATATATGTGGCAGCTGTGTCACATATGAAAACATGATACATACATAGATAGCGATGAGGAAAGAAAGGAGAGAATAAGAAAGACGATAAAAATATATCGCAACATCAATTTATTATAAGTATGGATTTGAAGAATCATCATCATGATGTTTCAACCACCAATTATAAATCTTAAATACATTTTGTAGAGCGCAATTTTTTACATGATTTTCACAACGCATAGTATTCTTAACATCTAACTTATTTAAAGAAGCTACATCCTCATAGTCTGCATCCAAAGTTTCGATAATGACATCGTTTCTTGCATCATCGTCCAGTATGTCGGTCAGCCATTGCCGTTTTTCATGGCCTTTAACGTACACGAGAGGTGACGCATCATCCTCCTCCGGTGCACCTATCACCGCCGTCATGATTAAACGTTTCGAATTCCAATATGAAACGTGTCCATCATTCCACGATAATCCATGGTGGTTTTTAATCAACCATAAAACCTGACATCTTTCAGATTTTGTGAGCATGTACCATGGTACCGGACATGTAAAAATGTAATGAGAAAGTATGGATCCTTTTCTCAAAACCACAGCTTCCATCACGACAAAATTTTTCCCAACGATAAATCCTTGCAGATCCACAAATTGGCGCAGCCATGATGATAAGATCCGATCGCAGACTGATGTTGATCGTCAAACATCTCAATCTTTTATATTTTTCTTCATGTGCAATGGAGGGGATATTTGCTGACCTATGTAATTTTGCGGACTACATTAGTCAATGGATTATATTCGACAACCCGATCATGCAAGATGAGACAATAGGCGGTAGTATTCGCCGGTATATTTTCCCTGCACTCAAACTCTATTCTCACGTCCACGGTAGCAGTTTTGACAGACTTGTTTTGTCGCGAGCAATCAATGACTGCTAGAGGACCGCAATGTAGAAATTTTGGAATGGTTAATAGCGCGGCGCTATTATCGCATCCGTAATAAGATTTGCGAAAACGAGAGTACATGTCGAATAGGACGGCGAATCTATTTTTTTCAAAATCTAAATTTAAATCATCGTAGGGATAAAATTCCGAGTTTAAATAGAGTTTAACGTTGGTCAATTTGCAGTTATCGAACAATGTAACATCTTGTGACACCGAATTCTTTTTATCAGTTTGCAGTGCAAAGATCACGTATCGCGGTTTCTCTAGCTGGGAGGCGGCTTTCACAGTCCACGAATGTTTGGTCGTGCTATGTAACAGAGGAAATTCGTATAGATCCCAAGATCGGAAACTCATGTTCAAATATCGTCCGCTTTCCAACATTCGCAACATTGATAATTTATTAATCTCGTTCAATATTACATGAGATATACGCCACTGTATCTTGAGTAATTCAATCTCAGCTTCCGACGACGGATGTCCGAATAGACAATTATTATCGTTGCGCGAACGTATCAAAATCAATTCGTGACGAGCGTTAATCACAACGCGTTTATAATCTTCGCAAAATCCCTGCAACATGTTGAGCGTCACGCAAAAGTTGAAATAATTTTTGTCACCGTTGTACGTCAAATCCCACGCAGCGTTCTTCAAGTTTATACTTTTCTGGTGCGTTAGAGAGACATAATTTTTGAGCGTCGATGTTATTCCAACATTTCTGTTGCGATCAATCTCTACTCCGTCGAGTTCGTATCGAAGCTCATCAAACATGAATGCGACGCAATTGTTTCCCAATACAATCTTCATTTCATCATTCGCTTTACGCACATTAAATCTTCCCTCGATGTAAAGAAAGCTTTCGCACGGTAACGTGTATAAATCCTGATGTTGTATAGGTATTCGTATCTCGTCGCTGTATCCAAGCGTCGTATTGGCGTACGGATTGTACGTATGAGTCTCAATCTTGACGATGCGATCATCAAAGACTGGCTCACCTCCGATATTCAAAACATCAATCATTCTTTTCGTACGATGAATCCCAATGATTTCAAAAATTCACGATTCAACGCGCTCAGCTTCTTTTTAACGGCAATCTCATTATTGTCACCCGATACCGCTCGCCTTACTGCAATAGTATTGTCCCGCGTAAAAGTATTGTCTCTCGCGTGCTCCGTTTCGTT